AGAGGCTCACACCAAGCTCTTTCCTGATAACACAAGAATTCATATGTATGCTTCACTTCCAAGCCATAACCTGGGGACTGTGACTGAGGTGTGACTCCTGAAAACTTCATTCTGGACTGATTCAAATCCTCAAAGAACCTGAAGCCAGGACTCTGCCCAGAATGTGGGCCCAGCATCTGCCCTCTGAATGTGGGGAGCTGTGCCCACAGGGGTCTGAACTCCCCCAAATCCAGAGGAAACTTGGAAACTTGGGCTTGGACACTTTGACATGAAAGGCAGGGCTCTGCTCAGCCCCTGGACTCAGCCCAGGGTGGCCAGGAGCCTGGAAGGCAGTGGACAGACAGGCTCCACTTGACAGATAGGATGACAGTGCCTCCAGACACCCACATTTTCCCAGCCTCTCTCCTCTGACACTTGGAGGAAAATATGTTTGTTATTTAAAAATAAATGCTTCTAATAGAAATTTAAGAAATTATTGCTGTTTCCTATTGGGATTTTTCTGGGAAGATGAAGACTTGTTATAATGAAGCATCCATAATTAAAACGATCTTTCATAAAAGACAGCCATTAAGTCTTTATTTACTGCAGCCTTTTCTAAAATTAAGAATTAATCGTATACATTTTTATCTTTAATGTGCCTTAACAAACATTAAGTACTTTTGCAGTATTATAAGGTAGTAGTATCTACATTTTTCAAGTAGGTTCAGGAGAAACTAAGGGTAAGTGATTGGCACATAGCCACAGGCAGGGTCACTGGTATCAGCACTAGTGTTTCGATGTGGGCACTTCCTGCTATGCCTGGTATACTACAGGAAGTACTGGAATTCCTGTGGTGGAATTTTTATAGTACTCCAAGCAGAAAAAAGCAGCAGTGAGCACAGGAAACCCCAAGAGAAATCCAGACAGGGCCAGCAGGGCAGAAGCAGGGCAGAGGAGATCAAAGACAGTGGTGCAGATGTGTCCTGACCCCTGACTCCAGGTGGCCTCTCCAGGCTGGCTGAGGACAGAGAGAGCCAGGGCTGTGAGGTCCCTTCACACAGGTGCAGAAGGAGGAGGTAGAATCACATGTGAAAGGTAGACAAGGAAATTAAGTAAATGTCTTCATTCATCTAAACAGGTAGTAATAGACATGAATTACATAAATGATCTTTTGTTCATACATACATCACTGATAAATTTCATTTCTTTACAGAATGTTCTCTGGAGATTTAAGTTCTCTCAACTTAAGGGATCCTCAGATGATGGAAAAAATCGAATAAAGCTGCTGTTTCAGAACCTAGACTCCAAACAAATTGAAATGAAGGTAGGGGAGGTAGCTTGTCCTGCATCCCAGCCCACTTGAGGTTGGCATGCACATGGTCAGCTGGTGAACTCTCCATTCCTCCCCCTCCCTCCCCGTGCACATTCAGTCATGAATCCTCAGAAATCAGACACCAGAGATGTCAAGAGAGCCCAGACAGGTTGAGTGACCCTCATCCGAAATGCTTGGGACCAGAAAGTTAGGACTTCAGATTTTTTTCAGATTTTAGGATATTTGCATAATACTTACCAGTCTGGCATCTCAGATCTGAACATCTGAAATCTAGAATGCTCTGGATATCACTTCTCGGCCTCTTGGCTAAGATCAAGTGCAGAATGCTCTGGATAGTGTTCCCCGAGCACCATGCCAGATCTTACAGGTGGGAGTTGGGGCACTTCAGGTTTCAGCTTTCAGATTTCAGATTTGGGACGCTCAACCTCCATTGTTTTCTACTAAGACTTTTCCATCCTGAAATTGTGGTCATTGAAACAATTTTTTTGACTCTATTAAAAATTACAAGTTTCTTATTAAATGTTAGTAGGAAACTAACATTTTAAAATTCATCAGAAATTACAATTTAAAAGAAAAGATTTAGGCTCAGCGCCTGTGGCTCAAGTGGCTAAGGCACCAGCCACATACACCTAAGGTGGCAGGTTCGAATCCA